CATACCTTTTTCTCCATCCATTACTTCTCTTATGTTAGTGATGTGTCGCCATGCATGGTTTTTCGCAACCCTTTGTTCCCTTGTTTTTTTGAAGCATTCTTCTTTATTGTTTTTACTTTTTCTGCTACGTGCTATTTCTCTTGAATCCATCGCCAGGGAAAGCTGTGCATTCTCATGATTTTTCTGTCTTTCAGTCATGGACGGATGTGGTCAAATGCAACCGGCGTATGGGTACGCCTTATGAATGTGATGCATATGCAGCAAGGTAGGATATAGTTGTATTTCTATGAATTCCATTTGCATCATATTATTAGGAAAATGACATTTCGACGTTAATTGTGGCTGTAGATGTGTGGGCTAAAACCGACTTCTCATCAAATATCCCTACTGTTTATGGTTTGGCTTAAACATGCATTTATGTCTTTTTGTTTCTACTTACTTTTCTATTTACGTGGTCAAAATGCAACCGCGCATGGGTACGCCTACAAATGTGATGTTCTTGTGTTAGCCGTTAGTCTCATTGCATCCTCCTTTTCTCAGGTACTATTGGAAGTCCATCGATCTGTAGTGCACCAATGACACCTCAGCAGATGGCCCAGCAACAACAACAGAAGCAGCAAGTTATGTGCAAGGGACAGTCGCGTCAGCAGGACAATTTGATCAAAGCGGAGGATTCACTCCACAACAGCAACAAATGCCACAGGGGTATCCGCAAGGGATACCGGAAAGCCCAGGTAAGGTGGCTTATGGTTAGATGGCACTCATTGAATTGCGTATGTATTCAGATGTTTTCCCGCTTGTAAGGAGTTTATACCAAGCGTTAATTTGATTAATCTTTGGGAAGGTCCCACTACTGGGACTCGCTCCCAATTACTTGTGCTATCTCAAAGCGAGTGTAGGGGTTGTTGAATTACAATGGCTCTTAAGGAGCTAATTCCCTTTCTTATTAAACATCCTGAATTCCCGAAACGGCTCAGATTCCCTTCGGGTTTTCGGTGCATAGTTTTCCCACTGTTCGTCAGAGCTTGGTAATGTGACATCAAGGAGAGACGCAGTTTGCTGAAATCAGCAAGGGTCCCTGAAATCCTGAAAGTATTGTTACAATTTCAAAATACATAGGGACAAAGATACGTACCTCAGCCATTCGTTTAGAGAAAACAAGTTTACTTTGGAACTGCCACTGAACGTTTCTTTATGCTAGATTTTCCATCATGTGGGATTCTCAAATAATGTTCTGACTAGGGAATAGCCATTGCACGATGCGCTACGATATAGTTATATCGACTATAAACATTTTATTAGGTCGGTCCACAATTTTTGAGAACCTTTGGTGTTTTTCGATTTATTACTTATCTTATTTCTCTGATCTACTTATCCAGCATAGTATACATCATTATTATTAACAACATATCGCCAATGCGAGGGTGGGTATTCAGTGCCTCTCTTGTGGACTTTCATAGAGTTCTGATCGAAGGAAAATTGTAGTCCCGAATCAGTTCTCAACCCAATCTGACATCATCAAGTTCCTGTTGGTTTCCATAGTTCCTTCGGATGACCATCTATAATACTCATTGGTGATGTGGACTGGGTGCAGTGTGCTAACAAATCCACGAGCCGCAGTAGATTTGCTCAAACGATTCGGGAGTTCTGACAGTACAAACCCAACTCCCTCTGAATTCGAACTTCCTGAGTCGTTGGCGCAATACGGGAGGGCCTTTGCGCTGAAGACCGGCATCAACTAATACCAGTGTCAGTGATGGGAAGAATCGTTGACAGCTTGATGGCAACGCCTTCAACTTGAAAGCAAAGGAAGACAAAATCTATTTTTCTCTGAGGTCGTTCGAGCCCGCCTTGCTAAGAAAATTCCTAAAAAATTGGAGACTCTCGGGCGGTCAGTTCTTTTAGCTCCGCCTTGTAGCACTAATCCTGCGTCAACGAACGACTATCCGCTCTCCTCTCTCAATCACCTTCTGGAGAAGAAATCTCACTTGAATCACCATAAAGTCAAAATCGACATCCAATATTTCTTCGATCAGAACTCTATGAAATTCTATAAGAGGGACACTGAATACCCACCCTCGCATTGGTTATATGTTGGTAATAATGGTGATGTACTGTGCTGAATAAATACATCAGAGAAATAAGATAAGTAATTAAGTCGAAAAACACCAAAGGTTCTCAAAAATTATGGACCGACCGTAATATATTTTTTATGTGTACATTTACACCATCTATTGAAGTTCGTCTTTTGCTTAGGGAAATTAGCTTCCCTAGTCAAGGGCGCTTTATTGTCGCAGTCACCATGGTGAACGTAATAAACAGTTGCGAAATTTCTCTAGCGGCTATTTATAATTTTGGTTTTGTTTTCCTTTTAAAGTACTCCATCGTTATAGTACAGCTTAGTGGACGCAGTGGTTTTTATGAATGTATCTGTTTTTATAGGTGCTCTACACATGCAGCAACAAATGATGGTCACAGGTGCCAGTGGACAAGGAGATGGCTCACCGGGAATGTATGTCCGACAACAGCAAATGTTTGGGCAACAGCAACACCAACAACAACAACAAATGATGAACCAGCAGCAAGTGCAGCAGCAGCAGCAACAAATGATGGGGCAGCAACAGCCCATAATGGGCCAACAAGTGGGTGCTATCCAGGGACGCTGCTATTGGGTTGAAAAAGCTTTATTTTTTCTTCGTGATGTTTTTGGCTATCTGTTCTAGTGGCAGCGTAACCCCTTTGAAATTTTGTGAAGGGTTTAACAAAAATAAGCAAAGTTATGTTTGGTGTGTCAGTAGCTCTAACTGATTTTACCTACATTTGTTCACAACCCTCCGTACTCTGTGAATGCTGTTTTGGAGTTCGTGTTTTTCTAACTCCATTGCCCTTGAGGCTAAGTTGAAGGTAATCGTTCTGAAATTCGGAGTATGAAAGTGGGTTAGTGAAAAAAAAGGTTATTAGGGAGAACCTGCACAGGATCTCGCTCAGACCTTGTCTGTCTTTTTTGGATTGATTAAGTGGATAGAATATGAAGAGCTGGTGTGAAGTTACTTTTTGTTAGGCACACATCTATTGAATATTTTAACACGTTGACGACCGCCGTTGTGCGCGTACTGCTTCAACATTTTTCCTATTCTCTCATCAATAGGCATTGATACTTCTTCGTTTTCATTATCAGTGATGAAAAAATTGTTTTTTGGATCCAATAATGTACATGGATCGTTGTGGAACAGGAAAAAACGCCAAATAAAATAAGAAAACTAGTATGCTCATGCGAAGTGTGGTATGACATCATACTACGCGGTCGTCAACGTGTTAGCTATCACTAGTTGAACTACCATTAGACTTCCTTACTTGTTTCCTTCAGATGATTGTACCGAAGATGGCATGATGAGGCGGTGACTCAGCATTTTTATCAGCAACAGAATCAGCAAAAGCGAAGTGGAGCAAAAACGCACCCCCTGCAGCAACAGGTCAGTTGTTGTTTTATCTTTTTCTTATGAAATGCTGCTGTAATGCGTTATAGCAGAAAATCATTATTTCTTCCTCCACTTTTCCCACTTCTTAGGTGCCAGGCGGTAATGGATGTTCGCAGATATAGGGGCGGAGTTTCACTGATGTTGTGTTGTTGCTTTGAAAAACAATTACTTTGGTGGTTACCCGTCATCAGGTTTCGCCTCAGTTATAATATTATCTAAAACGAAAAAGAGAGAATGTGTGAATGTTTTCTAGATTGCAACAACCATTTTTGTTCGTCACCACAAATGATGGGGACGACACCAGCGCAAAGAGTGCTGATACAACGTGTACCATATCCCCCGGGCACAGGTACGATCTTGCGACTCAATCTTTTTTTTCTTCTACTTTTATTGAACTCTCACTGGCGGGAAAGAACGGTTTTAGAGTATTCGTGCAACAAGAATCCCTTTGAAGCTTCTATAAAAATTCATATTCCAACTGTTTGCTCGTGCTTTCTTCTCATTTTCTCGCTAGCAGACCGGATGTAGTTGATGAGCCGGGGATTTTTTTATGGCAGAACTCATTGCCTTTGTTTCTGGAGTCTTCAAGTTTCATTGCTATTATTTCTATCATTCTTCTTAAAGTGAGTTTTTTATTTCCTCATTCCATCGAATGAGGTGGCGTTTATTTTTATTAATTAGAATTCATGACTTTGAAAATAATTCATGGCTCTTCAGGTCTGGCAAATTCATATCCCCATTCCCAAGAAGCCCAGTCGATATGAATGTATGGCTGTCATCGTCTTATGCATTAATTATTAGCAGATTGCCTTACTGGTTTATTGGCCATTAAATACTTATGATAGTGCTTTATGGCTGTCAAAAGTGTGGAGTTTCCTTTTCTTTCGCATCAACTAACTTCATTGCAAAAAAGTTGATCTTGGTCGGTTTGTGTGGTCAAATTGCAAGACTTTGAGTTTTTTTTTCTGAAGATTAAAATTTGGCATTTTTCGTTCATAATTTTTTGTTCCAAAAACGTGGTGTAGGTTTTCAAGGTTTTCCTTCGCTACAAACTTTCTTCGAAGTTTTGCTTCTGTTCTCTTTCAGGAAAACTTCTTCGAGACGATGATCATTCTAAGGTGAAAATGTTAGGCGGCGTACTTTGAAATTTTCGACTTTTTTTCTTAACACTATCTTGAAGACTTACTTTTTTTCTTTCGAATTACTGTTTTTCATCGTTGCTCATATGAAACACGATCCAGCATTATTGGGAAAAATGCTCAAGCGTTAACGTTTGAAGGAGCTTAATTTCAAGTTTATCCTCAGTTTTCAACTTTTTTTCCGATTTCATACACGATTTACGTACGTAATGGAGCTCGAGGGTCTTATCTTAGGTCAGTGTTTAGTGCTCGTTTGTGTGCCTTGTTTTAGGCAAGCGTTAGGCCATCTTGGGTATAGTCCTTTTTCTTCGAGGTTCATCTGATGTTAGCAATTATAAGTAATTCCATTTGGATATTCATGTGGCGATTTTCAAGACGCATTGACTCTGGTAGTGAAACCAGGGGGATTTCACTGTCCTTATTGTTATAGTGGTCTGTTTCTGTTTTTTTTTTTTATTTCTTGCTTTCAAGTTACATCTGAGATCGATTATGTTTCGCATTTCGATGGATGCGAAAGGTACGAGTTTTGATGTTGTGGACTGTGAGCTGTAGTGTGTAAAGTGTCTTCTTTAGTGGTATCTATGAGCAAAGGCGTAAGAATTTATTTTTGAAGGCAATTTTAATCGTAGGCCAGATGAGGAGGAGGTGGAAAATGAAATGGTTCATCCATACGGGAATGTCGCAATGACACTTGCTTTTTTTGACATTATTACTGGTGAAGCTTACCGGTTATGCAGAATAGCGCGTGTAGAACCGAGGGTGAATATCGGTTCGAGGAAATCTTCGACAGGGGGTCGTATTTGTCAAGGTGGCTCATGGGGGGTCGTACTCGTGGGGGTCAGTAACGTCAGTGGCATCGTGGTGCAGATAGCAGGGATAGGGTGTAGCGGAGCGGAAAACAAGGATATAAGGAAAATGATATAAAATATCCTTTGCAGGTCAGTCGCTTCGTCTCTCTGTTCGAAAAGACTGTTCTTGGAAGAGGTTATGACGGGAATGAAGTTTTTGCAAGGAATAGGGCTACATGTGCGCGTGCGCTGCAAAGGCACCTCCATCTACCGCCCGCTCCTCCCCCTCAATACCTCGCTGAGAATGACACTGTTGTTAGGGACCCTGTCGCAAAAACGACAACCGTGAAGGAAAAGCCCTGGGCAAATGAAGTTGTTCTTTAGGTTGTATAGAGTTACGAAATGCGTTTACTACAATGCAGCTTCTGTCAACTGGTCATGATCATATGACACCTTCGAATCGATTCTGCAACTTCGAGTGAGGTCGGATGCATGGCCTATACTCAGACAAAATTCGATGATGACGATTGCCCCTTTTCCTATTGCTTATGTTGGGAGGATGTTTTCTAGACCCATTTCAAGCGTTGCCAACAATTACACTTGCAATGGTGAAGGAGGGAGCGGATTTTCAGGTGGCCGGATCCGTCCTCGATACATACTCGACGCAGATATCTTCTCAACTAGGAAATGTAGAAGAAAGCTAAAAGACCATCAGAAAGCGCAAACCTTCCGCTTTCCAAAACTATCTTCTTTTTTTCAAAGGTCTACGCAATTAGAGGAGATATCGCCTTTTAAGTGGCAAAAACTCGCATGAAAAAAGAATTTGGGATCCTTCGACACGTGCACTCGACAAATTGAGGGAAAAAGGACCTTCTCTGCGAAAGTAAGATTTCAGAGGTAATTGCTTCATATTGACCGACTAGGGGAAGGCAAATCCCAGCTCTATCTAACCCTACCACACACTGCTCCAAAGGTTGTGGGAATGGGGAATGGAACCTTTTCATCGAAAGTGTAGATTTTACGGTTTTCGAGCGGGGTTTCGGCAAAATCTGACCCACGGATAAACCGCGCTGCAACTGAACGCTTTTGCTGTACATTGATGGAACTCGCTTATGCACATCAAGTCAAAGTCAGAGGGGTCGTATAAAGGACCCCGATGTGAGGGGGAGGGGTCGTACTGAGGGTGTGACCACGGCTCGACACGATTTTCACTCGGAGTAGGACACGTGACGATGTGACGTAAAAAATCAGTAAGCGTAATTTTTGTTGCTGTTCATCACCTTGTTCCACCTGATCTGCATTGCACCTGGGTGTGGGAGGCAAAGGAAATGTGCCGTGAAATTCGAGACGTGGTTTCATTTTACCAATTGCAATATGGACGCATCGGACTACGTGCTAGATGCTGAGGTGTTTTTATGGTTGCGCCAAGAAATCGTTTTGCATGCAGTGGCGACGGCGTCGTGAAATTCAATCCTTCAGCTGTCTCACATTTCTGAAAACATCCCACATTCTCTTGCCTTTTTGATTGCTTGTGGCCAGAGCGAGCTTTTCCATGTTTTACGATATATTTCGTCGCTTTATTTTACGACCGGTTCTTGGAAAAGACTCCCTGGCGATTGCTCACTGGTTCGATAATGTGTTTTTTCGCATGTTATGCCATTCCGTAACAATTTTGAATATTCGGTACTACGGTTTTCATTGTTCAGTATTCATCTCCAAAATTGGACTTTTTTCATCTTTATGCTCCAGGACTCTATACGTTTTATGATTCTGAGGTATTATTTCCATCATGGAACGAATGCCTGCGATGTCAGCTCCGTGGCTTGCTCGTTCACAGCACTGAGCCTCACAGCATTGTTGTGTTCGCACTAGAAATGGGGGCGCGAATGTTCGACAGTGATTTTTGACTCTGCGAGGCGCAATAATGAAATATAAAACCGTTTGCCGACATTGTATCGTTTTGATGTTTTGAGACGGCGATTCGGAATTCGCAAAATTGTTTTATCTTTCCCAAGAAAATCGTCCCAAATTCCATTTCTTCTGGAACGTGACCTGATTCCATC